CCGACTCCGTCGCTCGGCCCCGCGGCGAGAGCCCGCCAGGTGAGTGAGGTTGGTGGGGAGGGGATGTCAGGAGGGGACAGGGCACCCGGCGAGCTCAGCCCCTCGCCCGACGCCTTCCTGGGCGCTGACAGGCGCTCGGGACCCGGCCTCTGGGGGGTCGAACGTCTATACCCATCCCGAGGAGTTCTTTCGGCCTCCCTGTCCTTCGGTGTCGGGGCCCGGAGTGCTGGGAGCTTGGGACAGGGGCAGTGCGGCCGCCGGGCAGGAGTTGGCAGGGCGGCCGGGGCGTGGGACCGGCGACGGGAGGCAGGTGGGCCCCGGCGGAGCGCGGGGAGGGGCGCGGGACTGGGGACCGGGCAAGGTGCGCGCGGGGGCCCGCAGGAATCTCAGGAAATGTTTGTTGGGCATTTGGGAGAAACTCTGCCCTTGGGACAAGGCTCCTTGCTTTTGCCCCGGCCAGCGAAAGTGGCGGATTTTACAGCAGAACTCAAGGGGAAGCAGGCAGGACTGGCTGGAAAGAAGGGGGACCGTGAAGACCCGTCTGGACGGGGACCAGAGATGAACGAATGCGCTTGTGGGGAGCCCTGGGGCATGATGTGTGGACGTTGCCATGCCAGTGTTTGATGTTTGTTGCTTATGGTTATTTTAGGACTAAATTATTTTTTGAAAAAAGTTACTTGGGAAAGAGGGAACTGCTTGAATGGTCATAAGTCCTTCCCTGTTTATGCAGGAAATAAGTTAATCTTTCACACCACCACCCCCAACTGAATCTGTGCCCAGTGGACTTTAAAAATAATAAATACAAAACTCTAAAGCCCCGAAACAAGGTAATGTTTGTCTGATGAGTTTCAGGTGTCAGGCTCCGTGTTCCGTGGGAGAGAAAGGGAAGGACACCGAAGTATTTGATACGCTTTAGCAGTCGCTGTTTTGTAAAAAGCTTTGGAGCCCATCAAAAGTGGAGTTTAGTTTTCACTGCCAGGGTTAAGTAATCACTTTGACCCTGTGCCACCCACCAATCAGGAGCTTCCCTGAAAGTAACTTGGAAGACCGCTACCAGCCCAGTGCTCTGTCGACTGGGAATAACCAGTGCTTCCGCTGTTTTTTTTTTTTTCCTCTTTATTTTTCCACTATTATAATGCATGCTACCAAACGTTAGAATAAATTGTCCATCGTTAAACTGCTCTCCACTGAGTCACTTTGAAATGATCAACCGCTAGCTGTGACATGTCTTTCATATTTGAAAGTTATTTGGAAATTTCAAATGCAGTTTTTTCAAATTGATAATTTCTTTTTTTTTTGAGTATAAGTCTAGCTTAAATAGATTACACCAAGTGGGTAATGTGTTCTAAAATTTAAATCTCATCCAAGAAAATGTCTGATTTGTGAAAGGTGCAGGCTTAACATCTGAGGAATTGTCTAAAGGAGTCTTTGGTGATAAGAGAACAGCCAGGACACTCTGTCTTGTGAGTTTCGTAACTGGCAGGCTCTGCATATACAAACTTGCCCCGTATCCAAGCCTTTCGGATATGTGGGTGCTCCTGTTGATCATGGATCTTGGATTATTTGTCATTTTCAAAAAGTTATCAACACAGAACCCTCTTTTTGAAATTGAGTCCTTGTCGCATGTAGCCAGGGTACTGAAGGTTTTCAGTACAAGATATAAGGGAGGATTATTCATTTCTGGGTCTTGTTAATACTTTCTGTGCAGCAATTTTTATACCCGGTTCTGTGCTTTTACGTCTTGCTTCGTTGGCTGTTGCTAACATGCACAGTCCTGTGATGGGGTACTTGGATGTTACAACCTAAAACATTTCCTGTATTCAATACATATTTAATTTTCTTCCTTCTCTCTTTTTAAAGGGAACCCCAGAATTGGGCAAATCAACACTTACTCAGCATATCCCCCTTCTAGGTGTCATTGACCTTGGTGACATCATGGAGGTCATGTGTTATGGAGATAAACAGTTTTGGGTTTCCTCCAGGTGATAAAGACACATGAGAAAGTGATCTGATATATGAATACCTTGATTTTTTTTTAAATCGTTTTTATCAGGCATTTACAATAAATCATTGCCAAAAATAATTCATTGACCTCCTTTTGGGAATACATGTATTTCTATTTTACATTAAAAAATAATAGGTTAATTTCTTTTTTTCAATTTTTCTAGTATTGCTTGTGTAGTCTACCACAGATGAACAACTGGTTTTTTGGGTGACATTTTTAAAACTTGGGAAATAGGGAGAAGGGCAGTAATGCTGGGACAAATTTGGCCTATGAAAGCCACTGTACTCACTGTAAGAAATTCGATATTTTCAAGTATAAGATTATAAAACAAATATATGAGAATTTTATATTTTACAAAAGGATTCACTAAAAGGTGCCTTCAAATAATTAATACCTTTTTTATGGAACTTATAAAATGTGATTTGATTTACGAAAAATTAGTTGGCTTACAACAATTTAAGAACAGATTTTTGACGTGATGTAAGATTTAACCAGGGTGTTCCTTGAATTACTACTTTTCTGAAAATGGGGCAAGGTTATTATTTATGGGCTTCTTAAATTCAAAGTTGTGCCACTTATATGCTACCTATTAATGTTATAACTGAATGGAAAACTTGTCTGATTTGTGCTGAACTATTTAAGGAGTACACTGAAACCTAATTAAAATGCCACAGTTTTATGGTCAGGTTTGTCTGGAACCCCTTCCAAGATAGTTTAGTTACTGAGGTATCAAAAGCACCTTATTAAAAGATACTCTCACTAGGACGGTGGTCCTGCAGTCTAGGCCAACAAGTGGTTATACCCAGACTTCAGCAAAATCAAAATAAATAGATATGGTCTGAAGTCCACATGTAGTGAAAACCATTACCTTGAATTTTTCTCTAGGTGCAGATTATTATCCACAATTAAAGGCTTGATTTTCCTAAGCTGCAGTTCTGTTTGGGTCAATTGTAAAAAATTCTTTTTTTTTTTTTTTTTTAAGAAAGAACAACTACATACACTTTAAACTTTAAAGGAGGCTTTTTTTTTTTTTTTTTGGTAGTGCAATTCGGTTTATTTGGAATCACAGGAGATATTGAATAAAGACTTGGGGAGTTTTCTGAAATCATTTTGCTTTGGTGATATTAAAAAAAAGGAATGTGAGTTAATAAGAATAGAACTTGCTTATGGGTTAGTTCAAACTTTATGTTGGCATAAGGGAGAAAGGGAGGAACTAGCCACAAACTTTATTAGGGATAATTAATCAAATTTATTTTGCTGTATACTCTTCATTCCTGGCTTCTCCAGAGTGATACCCTTCCTCCCCACTATTAAAGAAGTCTTTTTCTTAGAGAAGGGATTTAAAGGGTAAGAGCTAAGCATGCCAGGTATGTTAGTGTTCAAAGTATCTTTTGAGAGTTTTAATAGTTTTTGTTCTGTTTTTATGCATTAGAAAGCAAGAAATTATTTTCATGCTGACTATGGGTTGAGAGCCCAACTTTGGAATAATGGGCACAGTTTTACTCCTCTTAACTTATTATTATAAAAAGAGAGGGAGCAGATCGAATGATGCCACTGAGTTTTTAGTATAGGCTCTTAGTTCCCCTTTTGAACAAATGAATAAAAATTAAGATTGAAGAAGTGATATTAAGAGAAATATTTAATTTTTTAAAACCCCAAGGGGCTCTCGCAAAGACTTGCTAATTTTAGAACATGGTAGGGTAAATAAGTTCATTACTTAGATTTATCATTAATGAAGGCATGTAATTTAAAAGATTTTTAAGTACATGCAAAATATAAGTAGACTGCTGCATTTTAAAAATATTTGTGCCAAGATCTGTGAGAATAGAGGTAATGATTAGAATTTTTAATTGGAATTTAAGGCTGATTTATGCTCTCTAGTTTCATTATTTAACCCAGCGCCACTTTAAAAATGTCACTTAATTTTTCTGTTCCCAGTTTTTTCTATAAAATGCAATCAGTAGTGTAGCATACTTTATGTAAATTGGGTTTTTAAGTAATATATGCTAGACTCGTAAGCAAAACATATTACCTAATACTAATATGTTTATGTAAGTCCATTGAGTGGGATTGAAAAACGTTTAGACCTTGTAATCTGCAGAACTTTGGGCAAAAGTTTTAAAGAGTTCAGAATTTTAGTCATAGATGTTCCTGTAAATTGCATTTTCCTCATTTACCTGAACGGATTTCCTTTCACAGTTACGTCTTTCCAGACTCCAGACATGCTCGTTTTTAGTGTTGGGTCATCTCATCTATAGCATCAGTAGGAAGTTCAGAATTTCAAACCTGTCTTCTTTGTATTTCTCAATGTTCCATCTGGGAGAGTGTTTGAATTTCAATTATTGAATCTGGTTTAATCAGAATTCATTCTAAATGAAAAGGTTATTACGATTTTCACAAACTAGGAGGAGATATAAATTTATTTTGAGATAATTTATGAACATTTTTGTATTACTGTAGGGACAATTAAACAGAATGTATAATTTAATATTTCTACTAGCATTTATTCTAAGTCAACTTTATGTAGTAGTTGTCTCTTAAAAAGATGTATTTGTCTGTGGAATATTTTTCAAAAAACTTGCCCTTAAATGTCGAGAGATGAAATTTTACTTTGAAACCTCCTAATTGAATATATAGTCAAATGTGTATAGTTAAATGTTTATTATTGGGTATTGTTTTGATTATTATTTTACATATGAGGATTTTTTTGTATGTCTTTGTAAGATTACTTTCAAGTATATTTTTATTTATAAAAAGCTTTCCTTTAAAAATAAGTCGTTTTGATCTTAATGATTATTTGATAGTCCTCAGACTTTTATATATGAAAGAAGTCGAAATGAATAATTTATTAAACTGTTTCCCCAAAATGCAGTAATTTGGTTGGAACATGTAGTATGACTTATTTTCCTATAATGTAGAGTTAGTTATCTTTATCTCTCTCAAATTTATAGCAGAATAGTTGGCTGTTTTTGCAAATTTAGGGGGTATAGAATATGCCCAGAAATAACCTTTCGAACACTAAGTGTTGGACTGAGTTTACAATATCATGTGGAAATGGTACTTTCCTTATAATGACATTTATGTTATTTCTGTCTAAATACCGTTTCTTAAACATGCCTATAAGTGAATATATTGTACGTGTCAGTCAAATGATGTATTTAATTTACATCTATGTTTCTCTTCCCTCTTCCTCCTTTTAATAATCGTCAATCGTTGGCCTTTAGCCACATGCTGAGGGAAAGTTTGTGATGTGTGTGAGTGGCTGGCCCAGAGTGGCGGTTGGTTTTTTCCTCGTGTCTTATCTGATGGAAAAAGGTGAGATTATTCTGTGACTCTTAATATGTATTAAACATTGTTTTGAGAATTTATTTTTAATCAATCTATTTATAAAGGGGATGTTTAAGAATGTTTAAGATGTTATGTTCCCTGGAAATAGTTTGAGAAGCAGGAGAAAGTGGCGGTAGAGAGAGGGATTAGATGAGATTGTGTAAAGTGAATATAATTATTTTGATGTAAAACATTAAATTAATCATGATATACCTTTTCCCTAGGATTGCAACCTTGCTTCTTGTTAGCGCTTCTCACTGAAGAGTTGAGGTAAGTTCCCAGGAAAGACATATGCATATCTTTAATCAGTTTTACATACTATCACTAGCAACATATTAGATGGCTATGAGAAAGTTAAACAGTTTTACACCGATGATCATTTTTAGTAGTCACATTTAGTGCTCCAGATTTTATAAGATGGGAGAACAGATGCTCAAGTGATAGGTGGGGAAGGATTTTCAGATACAAAGTTATTGTTAAGAAAATTCGAGTACACCAATCTTAAAAAAATTACATCATACCAATTACAGTCATACATCCTATGTTTTCCAACACTGTACCAGTTTTGAATACTCCATGACTGTTCATGTCCAACCATAAATCCTAACTTTTAGAATTTAGAAAATGTGGTCACTTAAATTATAGCTTAACTCAAGAGTGAAAAAGCTGATAATTAATCTCTATCTTCCTTTTTCTGTATCATAGCTTTCTGTCGTTGAATTTGAAGGCTTAGTACTACCTTCTTGGTTATATATTTTCCTAGTTCTGTAATTGAAGAAAAACTATGAGAATGAATCCTTACACCTGAGAAGTTAGAATCACATTGGGAGAGGCATAAAGTATATGGAACATAATCGTGTCAGTGTATTAAAAAATTTTCTTTCTAAAGCAACAACGGTTTTGAAACATTCTGTAAAGAGTTCTAGAGGACGTCAAGCAGGTTCGTTCCAGTTTCAGCCAGTGCAGTTTTACTTTGATCAGTTTTAAGTGTGGAAGTTTGCAAAAGATTTCATTTGAGATCAAGGTTCTGTTGTTTAAAATAAAAAGCTCGATAGCCACATTGTTAGCATATTTAATCTCATCGTTATCCCGCGTAAATCCTGGCACTGATTGGTCTTTTTATTATGACTTCTGAGACTTCTTTATCTAGCTCCAGTTTCATTCTTCCTCTCTTATCACTGTCTCCCCTGCTTTTCATGTACGCCCTGCATTCTAGTGCTACTTAAATTGCTTAATGTTCCCTAAGAGGAAAGCGTTCCATCTCCATGCTTTTGTACGTGGAACTGCCATCATTCTTGTCATGCTAGGCGAAACTGTTTCTTGGGAACCTTAGTCATAGCTCCATAAAAGCACTTATTTCATTGTTGTGTAACTATGGCCTCCCTTGAGAGCAGAGACCATCTAATTTATCTTTGTATCCATACTACTAGATGTTCATTAAGTATTCAGATGTCTGAATAATTGCATTTAGAATTTGAGAAGTAGTAGAATTACTTTAATGCACACTCACGTGAATAAAATATCCCAGAACTAGTCTGTGCAAAGTATTTTTAGTGACACAGTGTCAAGTGTAATGCTAAGTATATAAAAAGCATCCAGTTGCACTTATCATAAAGTATAATAAAGCCAAGAGATAGATTAGGTACTAGTGGCTTAAATGAAGTGATGTATTAGATTCAGTCATCTGATCGTAAACATTGGCCGTGAGAAAGCATTTTAATAATAATTCTATACAGTCTTGATTACCCATGAAAAAATTTCTCCCTATGTGATTAAAGCTAATAGACCCAAAAAGACCTTCAAATGTCCAAGAATATGATGTAGTGGTACCTGCCCATAAAGGTTAAAGAACGGGTCCTGGAGCTATATTGCCTGAGTTCACATCCTTGTCCTGCCTGTCAATAGCTGTGTGATCTTATACAAGTTACTTAACTATCCTGTGCCTCCTTTTTCTAATCTATAAAATGAGGACATTAATAATACTACTTTTTATATGGCTGTGTTTGGTATACGTGAATTCATGTATGTTGAGCACTTAAAAGAATGCCCAACCCACAGAAAATAATACATGTTAGTTATAATTAATTTCTAGTGGCTTCTTATTTGAACAGACGTTTATCGTGTATCATTTTTCATCATTTAAAAATAATTGCATTATTACACCAGTATCTAAAAGAAAAATTAGCATTTTTAGTTACTGTATCTTTAAACTGGCAACTGTTTTATCTGCTTACTGACTCGTTCTCCGTTCTCCCATCTCCCTGGTGGAATGTAGACTGTTTCTGTCAGGTAGATTGACATGGGATTGACATGGGAGATTTGAAACTCTGTTCTCCTGGATCTGCAGCAGAGCATTGTATTCCCATGACCTGTGCAGTTCTTGGTAGTGTCCACAGGAGAGGAGGGAGAAATAACAAGTATAGAAATCCAGTGACAAATTAAACAAGCCTTAACCTGTTCCACATAAGCCCTAGACTTACATGCTTCTTAGAGAGGATAGGTGTTCAGCTTTTTTCCTTTTTACATTTTCCTTGACTTTTTGGGCTTGAAAGAATAAAGTTTTAAAAATCTGATTTTATATTCATTCCAGAAAGGCACATACAAATTTAAATTTAATAAGTCAATGAGCCTGTATTTTAAGCTCATTTTTTTTATATATATACCTGCAGTGAGAGAAATAAGTAGGGCGTTAGTAATTTGTGTCAGGGCAATGCAATCCTGTTAAATATGTCCATTTAGGATGCAAAGAAAAATTTAAGGGAAGAAGAAATTTGTATTTCAAGTTATCTTGTAAAGAGTAGTTATTCATGTCTTATTATAACAAGTAATACCCAGCGTGTCTTTATAGCCTACTTCGATTTTCTCTTGTGTAACAATTAAAATATAATGAGAAGTTAGTGGGTGACTTTTAAAAAATATTTCATTAAAGGAAGGAATTTAACAAATAATTTTGAGTTTACTGTGCTGAGTGATTTGAAGATGAGGGGCTGGGATTTGAAGATAAGTCAGGCTTTTATCTTTATACACTACTTAGGACCCACTGGGAAACCAGAGTGTGCAGCTAACGAGTACATGGGGCTTGAAAGCTGGCAACAGGAGTGGGAAATGCTGGGTTTGAATAGAATAAGGAAAGAAATCAGTGGAAGACCATTTTTAAATGCCAGTGGGAAATTCGAATGCTTATACGAGTTGATTGATACACTAGTATTGTCCTGTAATTAGGACACTAATTTAGTATTAGCAAATTTTTGCGTAAGTGCCATTGTAGGAACTTGAAAAATATTTTTTGAACCTCCTTGGAAATTAAAGGAGTTAGGTCATACTATGCAAAACAACTGCTAGAATACAGTTTTGACTAAACCTTTCTTTTGTACAAACCAAGGCACCGCGACTGTGTTTAATGTTATCCAGCTTGAAATTTCATTTCCCTTCAACAGCCTGCCTTTCCATGTTTGTTAGGCCAAACGACTTCTTGTTTTATTTCTTCAGTTCTAGTTCCTTGTTGTTATTACTATTACTATTATTATTATTTAATCAGAAAAGATCAGAAATGCTGTTTGGGCATTTTTAAACTCCTCACAGATGTTTGGTTGCATGGAGGAGTCAGATTTGTTCAACCCACACCCAGTCCAGGCTCCTCAGTAGCATCGTTACCTTGTCGTCGTTCAGGCTTCCTTGTTTTAGAAGCTTTCTAATAGCTAGAAATAGCTTCTCTTTGAGCTATCTCTGTTTCCCCTCCAACGCTGACTTACTGGTCCTTGGCAGTCTAGGGCTGCATATGTGAAACCTATTCCTCTTACACACAATAGCTCTTAAAAGTATTGGAGAATGACTGTTAACTCCTGCTTAAGTCTTTTTGCTATTCTAAGAGGAAAAAGCCCTAATTCTCAAACCATGTGCACATGATATGGTTTACAGACTTTTCTCCATCCACATTGCTAAACTGACAAAGTCTGTTTGTCAGTATACCTCTTAAAATACGGCGGCCAGAACTGAACAGACTACTTCAGATACGGTCAGATGATTGTTAAGTACAATGCAGCTATTATCTGGATACTGTACTTCTGTTAATGCAGCCCGAAATTTGCATTACATTTTTTGGCAGCCACATTGCCCTTTGATCATATTGAGCTTATGGTCAACTAAAACCTTGTCTCTTTTTCATGTGAACTGCTTTAGGTCTAATCTTTCTCATTCTTTGTTTGCCAGTTGATGCTTTGAAAGTAAGTGCAGGGTATTATGTGTATGATTCCTGTAGAAGTTGAAATGAATTTGTCTTTATCAAATTTCATCCCATTTGACTCTCTAGAGATAAGAACTAACATTTATATAAGGCAGCACAGTTTTCATGGTGCTTTCACATATATTTTAATTTAATCTTTACAACAACCATCCAACAGTCAGAAGAGAAAAACGACTTTCCACTAAGTCAGGAATTGGCAGACATAGTACTTTGTCACAGGTTTTTGATTCCAAGTCCCATGCTCATCTTATCACTGTTCACTTTGTAAGCATTTAGCTTGTCCTTTGCTATGCGGCCAGCACCATGTGGCTGGTGCATCTAGTGAGCAAGACAGATTTCATTCTCTGTCCTTTGGTATTTGTGGCCTGGCATATAAATAATTACTGCTAGTTACTGAGCACTTTCTATTGGGAAGGCACTGTGGTAAGTTGTATTACTGTTCAAAGTATTTGTTGCCTCTCTCTGTCAGGGTCCTCTCTGTAAGAGGATTATAATTTCTACTCTGTTGACATCACATTTGGACGCTTGACCTTCCTTGACCAATAAAATGTTAGAGGAAGTGACATGTCCCACCTTTGAGCACATGTTTTAAATTCCATCTTGTGATTCTGCGGGTGGCTCTTTTCTGTCTCTCTTGGAACTAGAATGCTTTAACTAGGGCTGGTCGCACAATGATGGAGCCTCCAGGCTGGTCAATATGTGCAGCTTACTATATATGTAATATATAGTAAGAACGATGGAGCTTAGCTGAAACTAATCCATGATAGACATTTAATGTAAGTGAGAAATAAATGCTTGTGTGGTAGGCACCATGATTTTGGAGCCATTTGCGACCATAGCCTAATACAGCCCCAACAGTGTGATACCGACCACATTGAAGGTGCTGTATGAAGATAAATAAGACAGGCCTTGTCCTCAGAGAGCTTGCAATCTTGGTGGATGCATTAAATTTCCACCAGTTATTGGTAGTTGGGGAATAGGAGAGTATATGTATGAAAATATTTTTGACTTTGAGGATCTTTCCTGACCTTCACCTTACCCCTAGGCCGAATTAATGTTTTAAATCCTGGGTCTGTGGTCCAGCTATGCACTGTCACAACTTCTAATCGTCCAAAATTTGATAAATGTGTTTTCTATGTCCTTTTTTAAAACAAATGTATAAGAGAATGGGCTTCTACAGAATAGTCATCAGAAACTCTCTTGGTAAATCTCTTAATCAGCATTCACTAGATAACCTAAGAGTCTGCCTAGTTGAACTGTTGGCAACATATTCTGGAAAAATATTATGAGATCCTAGGTTCTCTGTGAATTTTATTTGTGAGCATTCAAATTTCCTATTGCCACAGCTGCATGTACGCCTCACTCTGCATGGGGTTTTAGAGACAATCCCCGGGGTGGGATTCTGTGAGGGATTTCCTTATCCTGAGAAGCTAAGGAATACATGGCCACGGTTCAAGGGAGCTCTTGAAACCTTTGAAATAATTATGTGTAAAATTATGTGTAAATACACATCATTCTGGGCCACAGCTTTCACCAGGTTATCAGAGGGAATCATGAGTCCCCTGGAAGGCTACAGCCCTGTCGTAGAGTGGCACTAGAAGTACAGGGATCTGGAGAGCACGACGTTTAGGGGGCGGGTAGAACAAGAACCCAGAAAGAAACTGAGAAGGAATAATAGAAAGGGTTGAGGACCGGGAGCAAATATAATGTTACAGAAGCCAGTTCCACATTAATCAGGTTTTAAAAACTCTTCTGGAATTTTGCATGGATTCTACATTCATCCTCATGGTGCTTCTCTCTCATTCCTTGGAAATTACCAAGTTTGCTGATTCATTTAATGTCTTAGGATATGATTTTTCATAATTTATAAATATGAATTTAAAGCAATTCCTTCTTTTCCTGTCTCCTTCCTATCTTAGGCTTCAGTTTCTGTTTCTTTCCCATCAATCCTTATTTACCCTTCCCAGATTAGAGATCATTCTTCTGATTTAACAAAGCTGACTCAAGGTAGGAGTGACACAGTTCATAGGTTATCTGTTGACAATTAATCTCAAGTAAGGAAGCTGGCCTTTATTATTTTTATTGAGAAAGCATTTTTAAGTCTTTTAAAGTTTTCCTTAGGTTATCTGTTGACAATTAATCCCAAGTAAGGAAGCTGGCCTTTATTATTTTTATTGAGAAAGCATTTTTAAGTCTTTTAAAGTTTTTCTTTCCTTAAGACTTCTGACAAATATCTACTTTAAAAAAAAAAACAACACCATATTAAGATATAATTGTTATATATATAGTAAGCTGCACATATTGAAAATATACAATTTGCTAAGTTTCGACATGTGTATTGCATAAAACCATCACCATAGTCAAGATACCGAACATATCTGTAACCCCTAAAGTTCTCTAGTCTCCCTTGGTAACCCCCTTTATTCCCCAGAAACCACTATTTGTTTTCTTTACACTATTTGACGTGTCGTAGAATACAGTATGCGCTCATTTTTGGTCTAGCTTCTTTCACCCAGCACGATTATTTTGAGATTCATCCATTATTGTAGTGTGTATCAGTAGTTTATTTCTTTTGATTGCTAAGTGGTTTTCCGTTGTATGGATATACTACAGTTTGTGTATCCTTTAATCTCTTTATAAACAGTGGGTTGTTTTTAGTTTGGGGCTTTTACAAATAAAGCTGCTGTGAACATCCACATACATGCCTTCGTATGGACCTGGGCCCCCATTTCTCTTGGATAAGTACCTAGGAGCGGAATAGTTGAATCACATGTGTGTGTGAGAGACGGGAGGGCTGGGAGAGGGAAGGGATTAAAGAAATTGGCTCACATGAATGTAGGGGCTGACAAGTCTACAATCCTTAGGACAGGCCAGCAGGCTGGACCCTCAGACGAGAAAGTTGGTGTTGCAGTCCTGAGTCTAAAGTCTGTAGGATAGGATTTCTGTTCCTGTCTTGACTCAGAATTCCTTCTTCCTCAGGAAACCTCAGTGTTTGGCTCCAAAAACCTTCAACTGATTGGATGTGGCCCACCCACATTATGGAGGATAATCTTTACTTAAAGTCATCTGATTATAAAATTCAGTCACATCTACAAAATACGTTCATAGCAGCATCTTAACTAGTGTAAGTTCAATTTCTGATTATTTGTTGCTACTTCACTACTTTGTTTTTGCTTTTCACTGTAGCCTTTTTTTCCACTACTCTTAAACAGATGAATGGCAGTCTTTTCATTCTAGATCAGCATTACCTTTTCTGTCTTTTTAGACATATCCTTTAAAAATATGAATTATTTTAGAAACTTTCTAATGTCATTACTTAACCTCTCACTTTTGTTTATTGGAACCACCTTACAAAAATGGCCATTTCATTTTAAGAATCTCATCTTACCTCATTTGAGTCATCTTCATTTTTCATTATAGGATTATAACAGTTCTCAAATATTTTAGAAGTTAAAAATGTAGGTGGATTTAGAATCTAAAACCCAGATAATTAGCAGAGTAGGGGTGTTGATGCCCAAAAAGGAAACAAAGTTTGGGAATAAAGATATAAGTTCATATTTTAGGCATCACCTTTATGCCATAATCTTCTTTCGATCAAATCCTTTAACTTCTTTGAGCCTCGGTTCCTTATCTGTAAAATGAAGCCATTATGAAGTTACGTGAGAACGGTAAGCAAGGTTCCTGCTCTCGTAAAGCTGCTCTCCAGGCAGGTCTGACAAGAGAGGCAGACAGTAAACAAGAAAAAGAACAAATTACATAATTTTAGGTCATGATGAGAGCTGTGAAGAAATCAAAGAGGGACATGTGATCAAGAAATACCGGGCTGAGGGGCCGCTTCGGAGTGGGTAGGCAGAGAAAACCTCTTTGAGGAGGTGACTTTCGAGAAGCTACCCCAGAAGGATTCGAAGAAACCAGGCATGTGAAGATCTATGTGGAAACTTGTCTGGCAGAGAGAAGAGAGCGCAAGGCCTCTAAGATGGGAAAGATTTGGCGAATTAGAGGAATTGAGAGAAGCCCGGAGATGCTTGGAGAATGGTGGGGAACGGTGGAGGAGGCGGAGCAGGCCAGCTTGTGTAGCATCTTCTAGGCCACAGCAAGGAGACTGGATTCCGTTCCGATTGCAAAGGGAAGCCATTGCAGGGTATTAAGAAAGGAAGTAGCATGATCGTTTGATGGCAGTGTCGTCGCGGACCTTTGGAAACATAAACTTAGCCCTGAGACATCAGCAACCTGTGTATCTTAGTGTCACTGGGATTTCTAGTTGCCCAAGATACATTAGTACAAATTACTATTTTCCCAGAGACAGCCATCCTTTACCAAACAAAGTCTGGGTTACCTAAAGCAAGTGCTATTGTACTTTATATCTTTTAGATTTTACTAAGACTTGTTATGCACTTGTATGTATTTTCAAAAGGAGTGCTTTGTGGATTTTTTTTTCCCTTTTATAAATATATGCAGTGGTTGACTAGCGTTGCCGTAAAGAGCATGATTTTGGTTTCAGATATGAACATAATTATTGACCACATGAAAGTATTCAGTAAATGTTAACAAATCTTTATTACTAGAAAGTGATGCCGTCATAGAATCACGGAATTATTGAGCCGAATGGACCCTAAGAATGATTTAGTCTTAATCCCTTTCTTTTATAGAAGAAGCAACTTAGATCCAAAGAGATTAAATGATCACACTATATAAACATAAAAATAAGCCTGGTTTTTATTATCCTCCCAGTTGTGGGCTGAGAGGTTCTTGAGGCAAAATTTGGAACCAGGGAATTTGGACAGTGACACCAATTGGCTTTATGTTCACTGCTTTCTTCTCTTTTGTTTGTTTACACTTGTGGTGTTTGACACTTAGCCCTGAACTAAGGATATTGGGATGAATCAGACAGCCTCTCCCTTAGTGTGGAAACGGACAAGTAAACAAACAGTTGCCATAAAAATTAAATGCCATGATAAAAGGCAAGCTAGCTCAGTGAGCTCTGGGAGTACGTGATGGGTGTGTCTGTTAAGTGACTCTAAGTTCATATCTATTCACCTACAGAGTTGAGCTTGCTTGGCCCCTTCTTTCAGTGAAGTAATTACATTGCCTCAGCCATGGGCCTTTCCTGTGCTTTTTTGCCTCCCAGCTATAGCCCTGGACTTGCCATAAGTGAATTTGAAGTTCCTGTATTAGGCTGTATCTGACCAGTCCCTATCTGGCCAGCCGACTTAGCTTGACGGCTCTCTCTGCTTCTGCCACTTGAGAGCCCTGAGGCCTCAGTATGTACCCCTGGCCAGTGATAAGCCACTTGGATGGTAGGATGTCTTATTTTAAATAGAAACACTTTTAGAGGCTAATTTAAGAGTAGTTGATGCAGATTTTATTAATCCTTTTTTTTTTTTTTTAATTAAAAGAAGTGAAATCAATTGGGTTTCTTTATTTTGGTTCATTTGTCTTCTGCTATATATATTTTGGCGGTGTGACCATGCCTAAGGAAACTAGCACATGAAGTTCATTGTTGATGTTATAACATGTTCTGCATGTTAAAATAAGGTACCAAAACTGGATTCAGAGAACAGGTACATCAAGCAGCACTGTTACAATTACGGAGGAACAATCGTTTCTTTTTACGTCTTTCCCTTTCAAGAGCTTATTATTTTCTGTATAACCCCAGCATTATCCCTTGGGCAAGTATGTTTTATTCTTGCTCTTGATTCTGTGTTACAAAGTTTGGTTAAAAAAACGATATTAACTTTTTGTCTCCCACACAAAGAATGTTCATATCTGTATTTTTTTGGTAAGACTCAATTCCAAACCGCTGAGCCTGCCCTAGTTTAAAGAATAGTATCAGTATCTTTTCTACAAGAAGTATATTTGACGTCATATGTATACATAAGATCTTCACCCACAAATGTGGCATACATTGTCGAGAATGTTAGATGATCGATCAGTTTCTGATGACATATTTGCACAGAGTATTAGAGAACAACTGGTTTTGACAGTCTGATGTAGTAGGTGATCTGGCAGTCTTCATCTTTTGGATCACATGAGAAAATTATCCATTGCATGGGACTTATGAGGAAGGGAGCTAGAATTTTAGAAGTGTTTTCTATGAAAGGCGAATAAGCTATCTGTAGTGAATGATTTTAGCTTGCATAGAAAACATCTTCGGCTGTACTAAATATAACACCGTCATCTCTGTGACGGTCTCTGCAATAATTATTCATTCTTCTCAGTTGACAGCAGAGGCATGTAGTACAGGTGAGAGCAGGCGCTGGAGCAAGGCTGCAGGGTCAGAGGTCAGGCCACCGGCTAGTGCGTGGCCCTGGGCACACGGCTTTCTGTTTCATGCTCCTCATTTACAAAAAGAGAGTAATACTAGTACCTACCGAACAGGGCTGTAATGAGGATTTAATGAATGAATATACATCTTAAACATAATAAGCACTAGATACGTATTAATTATTCCTATTATTGCTGCATATCTGTAATAGATTTTAAATGGCTGATTTTATTGGTGAGATTTTCATAGAGAATCTGGCATTTGAACTGAGCCTTGAAGAATAAACAGGATTTATAAAAATGAAATTGGAAATGAGAAAAGCTATGTGAACAAAGTTATAAAGAGGAGGTAAAGAATCTTTTTTTTCTTACATTGTCTTACTCAGTCCTCCCAGTACCCCTACAAGGTATTTAAAAATCTCATTTTAGAAATGGGACAGTAGCTACAGAAAAGTCATTTTCCCAAAGTCACAAAGTTAACGGTTGACCTAGTTCCATATGACTGCGAAGCTCCAGTTCTTACTTATTACCCAGTACTGCCTTCCAAAGAGGGGCTATTGGAGGACGATTCCAGAAAATATCTGAAAGGGCGACTGCCTCATAGTTAG